CTCCACAAAGCATTTCACAAATTATATACATTAAATCTGACCCTCAACCCTGAGTCAGAGCCTGGGTCTAATTAGGTTAGATACTAATTTCTCAATACCTCCCAGATGTCCTTGGCTCAGTTTTTATCACATTGTTATCACTTCCTCTTTTAAACTGAAGCCTCCTCTAAGGCAAAGATGATTCTTTACAAATGTACCTCCAGTACTGGTATATAACATACCCTCAAAAAATATTTCTTAATACTTGGTTGGTCTATTTACTATTTCAAAACTAAAATATTTAAAAATATCTATGGTAAATAATTCCTTTCAGTGTCAAAGTAACACAAATATATGTGCTTTTAAAAAGAAATTATTTAAAAATGAAATATTATTATTTTTTTGGTAGCTGGCCAGTATATTCTCTAGCCAACTGAGCTAATTGGCCAAAATTTGTTATTCTTAAAATCAGGACAAAACATTAATCCACGAAGATTTTATCCCATTAATTATAATCTCAATTTTAAAACTCTAAATTGAATTGGAAAGTGATCACCATGGCAATTCATTCATTACATTCCATATCTATCCAACTCCTCCTAAGATGACCTCTCCCTAATTCATTTCAAACAAACCACCAAACTATAATTTCATCACGACTACCTATATGTTGGCAATGATAAATTAATCAGACACAATAAGTCACCCCCAACACTTTCAAATAACTAATCACTTATTATTATTATTATTATTATTTTATTTTATTTATTTATTTTTTTAAAGATGACCGGTAAGGGGATCTGAACCCTTGACTTGGTGTTGTCAGCACCACGCTCACCCAGCGAGCGAACCGGCCATCCCTATATGGGATCCGAACCCATGGCCTTGGTGTTATCAGCACCGCACTCTACCGAGTGAGCCACGGGCCGGCCCATCACTTGTTATTATAATCATGAAGGTTTAGGATTAAATAGTCATAAACCAATCTCAATTTCAGAGTTAATTTTTGTTTCTAACAAGAATTGGTGTTAGTCTAGTTACCCATAAACAGATTCTTAGTCACGAAGGAAGAATTAAAGGGACTTACTGCCATTCGCTCAGCTGTCAGCCACTCTTCCTCCTCAGGATTTCCATGCCGGTGAGTGTAATACGAAACACTAGAAATCACTTTATTAATTTCATTCAGTGCATTCATTTTTCCATTAAAAGAAGAAATTTGCAACAATCTATAAGGGAAATCTGAAGTAAATATTGTTATAAGACTTCACACAAATAATAATTTAAGGTAAGAAATATCTTACCTGAGTATCATTTTCAATCTAAAAGTTTCTAAATTTTTCACAGTTTCTTCTTGTCCTGGAATCCTTGAAGCTAAGTTCCTCAGAGATTTGGTAATCATTGAAAGGGCATCATTTTTGGCTTCACTTTTTGCCTCTTTTTTAAGTTCTTCATCAGTTAAATTTTCTAGTAACTGTGGAACTATTTCTATAACTGGAAGGAAGTATTTTTTCACTGTATGTTGACTGAGAAACTCATAGCATTGTCCAAATGGTCTGAAATAAAAAAGAGAGAAAACTTCTGTGACACAACTTTTTCTTTTTAACCAGAACTAAATTCTCAAACTAACTTCAATACTTAAAACAGTTATTTTAAAATAAGAAGACACCACACTAGAAAATTGAAACTCAATGATTTTCAGGAAAATAAAATAACAATATGTATAGTGCATTGAATATTCACTTTAAAAGATAACTTACTTAATAAGAGCTGCAATTATTTGAATGTTTAACGCTGATCCATTAATGAAACGATCATGCAAAATCTGAAACCCATTTAACATGCCAAATTTATTGATGAGGTCCACTAGCCAACCCTGCAATATAGGTAATAATAAGAGTTAGTTCCCTGCTTTAAGAAAAAGTTACTACCTAAAATGTTTGAAACAAACCAGAAATAGAAAAGTTAACAAAATAACGTAAAATTACCTTTAAAAAGAACACAAAATATTTACATTATATGGTATGATACATATATTTAAATAAAGACTTAGACCTTTTCTATTACAGTTGTTACCTATATCCCTGGAACCAGAAGTAACACAAGCAGCAATTACAGAGTACACACTGACATGAGGTTTTTCATAACACATACTCTGGTGAACACAAATGAGGCAAAGGTTGTGTAGCTAAAAACATTTGTACATGTAAGATGTAAAACGAATTAAGGAATTAGGAAATTTTTCAAAAATTAAATTAAAGATAAGTCAAGAATTAAGTAATAAGGTCAAAAGACTCTTAAATTTTATCTTCAAAACAGCCAAATTTTAGAAGAAAACCTACAAAAATGGCAGGGGGATGGGAGGGGAAGGGAGGACCAGGGATACAAGCTGGTTTACTACCAATGTTAAGCAGAAATAACTTCTACCTTTAAATAGAAAAACATATTCAGGACATATGGAAAATAAAATGTAATTCTTTTAAAGAAGAATACATTTGTATAACCTAATGCTAGGCTTTGCATGATGGAAATCTAAATAAATTTTAAAACCTCTAGTAAATCAACTATCTTATTTCTGAATAAGTTCACTGTAGTACTTCCTACCTTTTAATTTAGTTTTAAAAAGTCAATACAGAGAGTGACATCAGCAAAATGACAAACTATGGTGCTTCACAGCCTTGTTCCTGCTAAAAAAAAAAAACTTCATAGGAACTCTGGCAATCCGTCAAAATTATACAGCAATCAAGCAAATTCCCAATCAATAAAAAGCCACATTCACAAAGAATAGGCAATTTTGTAGTGTTTTAACTCATCTTTGCTCACTCTCTTCCCACCAATGCACAATTTAAGAGAAGTAGTAGCCTGGTTCTTGGCTCCCCTATCTTAACTGGAGAGAGCAGAGAGAACGGAATTTCCAACATTCTAATCTGTCTGCAAGCTCCCTGTGGGTCTCTGTGTCACCTAATTTGAAGGTCAGATTGCCAAAATGGGTTGAAACTCATGCTAGGAGAAGCCATAGCAAGATAATTTGTGAAAACACCAAGGGAATCCCAAGAGAACAGGGAAGGCACCTGAAGAACCAGAAGAGGAGAAATTAAGAAATTTAAAAGCAGCCTGCATATGGGGAATATGTAGGGAAAAAAGGATGCACTGTCTCAAAGAAAGATACATTCCTTGAAAAGACTGCAGAAGGCCTTAAGTCTTCATGTGGGCTAATTAATGAAGACATTCTCCTGCACTGAGCCTGTCCACAATGACTGGAAGAAGTGAGTGTTTTTCCAAATGCTCAATTTTTAACAAAAGATAATAAGGCTTACAAAGAGACAGGGGAAAAGTGCCTACTCTAAGAAACAAATAAATCTCCAGAAAATCCCTGGAGAAACAAAGACAGGTATACTTGACAAAAACTTTAAATGTCAAATATTCTCAAAGAGCTAAAAGAAAACAGAGATAGAGAACTGAAGGAAATCAGGAAAACGATATACATATGAATACATAAAAGAAACAGAAGTTATAAAAGCAAACCAACCAGAAATTCTGTAAATGAAGATATGGTAACTGAATTGAAGAAAAATTCCTAGATGGGTTTAACAGGAGACTTGAACAGACAGAATTAACAACCAGAACTTGAGGACAGGTCATTTGAAATCACTGAGTCAGGGCCGGCCCGGTGGCACACTGGAGAGTGCGCCGCTTGGGAGTGCAGTGGCGCTCCCGCCGAGGGTTCGGATCCCATGTGGAGACTGGCGCCCGCTCACTGGCTGAGCGCAGTGTGGGCGCAACACGGAGAGTTGCGATACCGTTGCCGGTCCCCGGTACAGGCGCGACACCGAGGGTTGCGATCCTGTTACCGGTCAGTAAAAAAGACAAAAAGGAAAAAAAAAAAAAAAGAAATCACTGAGTCAGAGGAGCAAAACAAAAAGAATGAAATAAAGTGAAAAGAAGCTAAGGGACTTATGGAATACCACCAAGTGGAAAATGTACATATTATGACAGTCCAACAAGCAAAAGAGACAGAAAGGAGCAGAAAGCTTATGGGAACAAATAGTAAACAAACTTTCCTAAATCTGAGGAAAGAAATGGATATATATACAAGAAGCTCAATGAACTCCAGGAAGGATATGCTCCAAAAGACCCACACCAACATACATTATGATCGACCTATCTAAAGAAAAAGAGAATCTTGAAAGCACCAAGAGAAGCAATCCAAGGGAGTTCCAGTAAAATTATGGCTAATTCACCAGCAGGAACTTTGAAGACCAAAGAAGCTGAAAGTGCTGACAGGAAAAACTATCAAAGAAGAATTTCACAACGGCAAAACAGTCTTTCAAATATGAGAAAGAAATTAAAAACATTCCTAGACAAACAAAAGCTGAGAGAATCCATCACCGCTAGACTCACTCTATAAAAAATGGTAAATGAAGTCCTTCAAGTTCAAATAAAAGGACATCACAGAGGAACTCAATGTCATACAAAAATATAAAGATCTCTGATAAAAGTAAAACACAGGCACTTATAAAAACCAGTATTACTATAATTTTGACTTGTAGCTCCACTTTTTATTCTTTTACAGGATTTATAAAGCAAAAGCATAAAAAACTTATAAATCAATGTTAATTGGTTGACGTTATAAAAATGCATATACATTTACATTACACTTTAAGATATATTAAATGGATATATTAAAGTGTAATGTACATAATATATAAAAATGTAATAAATGACATCAATAAAAGAGGAAAGTACAGCACAATTGAAGTAAAGCTGGAAATAGTTTAAAATAGATTGTCATAAACTTAGGATATTATATGCAATCCTCACGGTAGCCAGGAGAAACATATTTTAGAGTATACATAAAAGAAAATGAGAAGGAAATAAGAACAGTTTATAAAACAATCTGAAGAACTGAACCACAGAAAAGAAAGTAAGTCAGGAAATGATGCACAAAAAAACATATAAGACATACTGAAAATGAGTAACAAAAGGGCAATGGTAAATCTCTCCTTATAAGTAATTACTTCAAATAGATATAAAAAATAGGATCCAAGATAACGTTGTCTATAAAAGACTCACTTTAGAACTAACGACATGCATAGCTTCAAAACGAATGAATGAAAATATTTCACGCAAATAGTAACCAAAAGAGAGCAGGCGGTGATTATACAAATACAGACAAAATAAAAAACTCACAACAAAGAAGAACACCATATAAGAAAAAAGTGTCAATTCATCAAGAATGTATATGGCAATTATACATACA